CGGGCATATGCGCGGACCTACCAGGCGGTGCTGCCATGTGAGCCGCGGTCCAGGTCGCAGAGCAGCTCCAGGGCGTGCGCGGTGCTGGACGCATCGTCTGGGGACTCGTGGCCGCCTGGCTCGGACTCCTCCGGCATCCTCCACACCGCCGCGCAGGTCTGGACTCTGCTGTCCACGGCTGCGAACAGAGAGCATGGTCAGCAGGTGCGCGCGGCCCCAGCGTGGACGGCAGCGCCCGGCCCCTGGCTCCGCGGGCAGGCGGCAGGCAGGAAGGCCCCGCTGCCGCTCCCGCCTCTCCCTGGTCCCAAAAGCATCCTTCCACTCCCGAAAAGAATGTAATTTACTCAAAATTGGTCTCCAGCCACCCTTCCCCAACGGTTCTTCAGGAAACAGCAGAGCACAGGGCGGGGAAGGGAGGGCCCACGGTCCCCAGGGGCCATCCCGGGGCCAGCTGGGCAGTCGGTGGGTCTCCACTCAGCCAGAGGTGCCTGGGAGGCCTCCACCTGCAGCCACGGCCTGGGGCAGAGACCGGGCGCCAGGTCGAGCGGGGATGCCGCGCGAACCCACGCGTGCTCTCTGCTGCGCGCAGGTGACCCCCCACCCGTCCCCTGCCAGGGTCCTGGCGCCCCTGATGTCAAAGACACTCCCAGAATCCGCGCCCTGTCAGAGCCCTAAGGAGCAACTAAGCTTAGAAGAGAAAGACGGGTCACTTGTTTCCGCCCATGTGCCAGGCTCCAGGTCTCTGCCTCTCTAGAAAATTTTTCAGTAAGACAATGAGGTTTAACATTATGTGATAAAAATTTAATCATAAATTCCTAAATGCAAATCCCTCCACAGTGTGCCTTCCATTTAGCTCTGTTACATGCTAAGCTGCCCCCCCCCCCTTAAAGGTGGCCTTTAAGGCACTATGATAAAAACACAAACAGGTTTCAGCGCTGACCAGCGACTGATCCCACGCAAAGGCAGAAAGGGCTGTGGGGGGAGGAGGAACACCCATCAGCAGTATTTCCTATGCAGGAAATACGGAGGAAACAAAGGACCTCACATGACATTCGAAACATCCCACGTATCAGCTGCAACGGCCCTTCAATCTACATGCCAACTAATCACCAAGAAAGGCGCTGTGAGCACGGAGCGGACTGCCTGGCTTCTGGGCATTATCAGCGTCACCATTATCACCCTAATCACACAGCAGGGAGAGGGCCCAGGACTCAACCACGTCTTCTGATCCCAATCTCAGTGCTCCTCTCACACGTCTCCCTGGGTCTGAAAGCCCGGACCGTGGCTGAGAAATAGACCATGTGTGCCATACACACACTCGATGCTAACACTTCCACTTCACCCACGGAGTGCACAATGGCTCCTGCCTACATAAGTTCACTTTTGCTGAAACTTCCAATGACAGTCTTTTTATAGAGCCTGGGAGACTGGCAATGGTGCTCCTGAATACACGAGAATAACCGAGAGTCGGCAACTGCGAGGTGGAAAGAAGAAATGAACGCCTGAAACATTCGCCCAACAGGGGCCCAGACTGTATTAACCTCCTAACGACAAGAAAAGAAATGTCTAATCTGAAAGTGAAGGGACTACAGCGCGGGAACTAAATCGTGGCTGTAAGTGAAGGAAGCACACAAGTGGCACCAGGCGCGCAGTAAAGTGGCCGTTCCTGGGAGAAGTGACGGGCAGAGGCCCCACTGCACACACTCCGTCCTTGGAGGATTTGCTCAGACGTCAGGAGAACAACTCCTCTCCTGTAAGTACCCGTTCACCGGACAAACAATAGTTGGGGTGAAACATCAAACACCTTCCCCGTGAGAAGGGGAACAAAACGAGAATTCCACACATCACCACCTCTGGTTCACGGCTGACACCAGCGTCCTGACTACTTCGGCATGGCAAGAAAAAAACAGAGGTGTAAAAACAGCATCACATGCTAACAGTTACATGTGCAGGAAATTTGATAGGTCCTACACTATACTATTAGAAAGAAACAGAAAATTTAGCAACAGTGCTGAACACAAAGGTGATCTATAAAAATCTATAGTCTATCTATAGACTAGCAAAAAATTTAGAAAATGAAATTTGAAATAGTATTAACAATCACATTACAAATCAAATATCCAATAACATCTGAAGCTCAAGGTGTAAGACCTGCGCATGGCAAACGAGGAACGCTGCTGAGAGAAAGGGAAGACCGAGGGTGGAGAGTGTACCGCGTTCAGGGACAGGAAGCCTCGCACCTGCACCGTGTCAGCGAGCAGTAACCAGAGCTCCAGCAGCCTTTCTCTGTAGAGATCAGCAACCTGCTTCTGAAAGTCTAAAATTTACATGAAAATGTGAACTGCCCAGACAGCCAAGACAGTCACGAAGAAGGAAAGTGGACAGTTCACCAATCTAACACCAGATTAGTGTTAAAGAGATGAATAGTCCAGAGGAAGGAAGTGGAGGCAGGCATACCTTAGGAAGATGGTCACCTGATTTAGGACAAACACGCCACTGCATGGTGTGGGCTAAGGGTGGTCTTTGCAGTAAGTGACGCTGGGAGAATTGTACATGCAGATGAAAAATAAACTCACATCCTACCTCACAACACACTCAACAGCCAATTCCAGAGAGACTGAGGGTCAGAATGGAAAAATAAAATAAGGCAGACCTTTTCCAGAACACTTAGTGGGATCAGCAGGTCTCTCCAACAGGAAGGAAAAGCACTAGTCACCAAGGAGAGACTGAGAGTGTAAGCCATGTTAAGACGAAGAACCTCGAGTCACCAAGATAGTGGACCTCATCAAAGCTAAAACTGCTGCTCTTGGAAACACACTGTTAAACATGAAGCAAGACTGGGAGAACATATGCATAACACACGTCTGACAAAGGGCTTGTATCCAGAATATATTAAAAAACTCTTACAACTTACGACAAATGACCCAATTTTTTAAAAATGGGCAGAAGACTGAATCAGACACTCAATGAAAGAAAACCCAGGAATGGTCAGTGAGCAGCAGAAAAGATGCTTCACATCCACAGTAACGGGAGAGATGCTAAGTAAAACCAAACGAGGTACACTGCACCTGCTGGAGTGGATGGGTTTCATTTAAAAAGATCAGCAATACCAAGTACTGGCAGAGACCAGAGCACCCGGCCCCTCCTGAGTTGCTGGGAAGTGTACACAGCACAGACATGTCAGAAACACTCTGGCAGCCGGGCACCCAACAACCAGATGACCTATTGCTCTCGGGAGAGGCTGCACAGAGTGTGGCTTGTTGACAAGCCTGTGGCTGCTCTCTGGCCCCAGAGTAAGAGTGGCCTGGTGATAGTGTGCAACTGCCAGAAGTCAGGGGCAGCAATTATCACAATGACCCACTAGGCCAGGGTGCCAAAAAGGAAGGCCAACTGGCCGAGAGCTGTGGAGACAATGTCCTAAGAGCAAGCAGATGGCCCTGCCCTGGAGAGCGACTGGCCTAGCACATGCCTGCATGCAGACCGACAAACTCAAAGGAAACGAATGAGTGAGCAGGAGACTGAGGGAAGCCACCCATCAGACGTCGTGATCCTTTCCTGTTTCCTGTCTGAGTCCTGTTTCCTCCTGATGGAGGAGGGCACAGCAGACACAGCGACCCACTAGGATGGCTGAGGCTTGGTCCTACCTGCTCTGGGGACGGAGGCTCGCCCTGCCCACCTGACAGGAAGCCCACTGTGCCCCAGTGGCCTCAGCGCTGCTTCCAGGAGACAACTAAGGCACCAACCAGGGGAAGGGAGCACACTGACAGTGAGGGGAGGGGCCATCTGGCACAACCATGTTTCACTTACATTTTCTCATTTATTTCCAAAAAAATTTCTTTTACTCTCAATAAATAACCTCAGTCTCAGAACTTAAAAGCAAGAGCACTTGGGAAGCGGCATGAGTATCCTCAGTGCTGACTCCCGCCTGCGTCTGTACCCTTGACAAGCATCTGCAGTCCTCCCCTTCCCACTGGGAAGCAGACGCCTGTGTCCTGCTCGTGGCTCGGCTTTAGACTGTGGTACCTGCTCTACCAACGGGGTGTTAGCAGATGTGAAACAGGCAGAGACTTGCATCGCCCTTGCACAGCCAGGCTGGACGAGCAGACGTTTGCTGTTGCCATGGGAGCAGGGACTGGAGAGCCACTGCTCCTGGGAGGAGAGGCCCAGCTGGCAGCTTGGAACTAAGCCCAGACACGCCCAGCCGGACCATCCAATCTCCGGCCAAGGTGCAGACAGCTAGGACAGAAATAAACCCTCCGTATGGGCCGCTGAGGTTCTGTGGGTGTTTGTTAGGCAGCAGGAAGCTGACTTATAATAACACGTAGCCACTAACTACCATCACACATGTGTGCTACTATCATGTAGCCACTAACTACATTCACATATGTGCGCTACTATCATGTCACCACTAACCACAATCACACATGTGTGCTATCATGTAGTCACTAACTACAGTCTCATATGTGTGCTACTATCATGTAGCCACTAACTACTCACACGTGTGTGCTATCATGTGACCACCAACTATAATCACACGTGTGTGCCAGCCTCCGTCTGGTTATGAAATCACAGAGCCGAGTCAGACAGACACTCCCCACAAGGATGTACCACATATTCAAATGGTTACATAATCAAGGTCAGGATCGGTGATGCCTTAACCGAGACCCAGGTGGAGCGCAGCAGGAGACTGATGCCCTCCTCGGGGAGAGAACCATGATGGGATGGGTCGGGAAGACCTGGGCACGGGAACAGAAACTGCGCAAAGGCATTCCAGAAGTCGGGTCAGGGCCCGCAGCCCAGGAGGAGAGGGAATGGCCAGTGGTTCAAGTTTGGGTATGACAAAGGGAACTAAAGCCATAAGAAATGAGGTGTGAGGCCCTCCCAGGGCTAGGCCAGGCAGGGTCTTGAGACCAGACCCATGTGGAGGGTCTGTTCTGGGTAACAGCATGGAGACGGGCAATTCTGAACAAGGACATAGTGCCCGGCAGAGAGTAAGAATTCAACCAACACAAAGAAAGAGAAAAAGGCTGGTGTCATGCTTTAGAGTGGACGGCCTGGCGTCAGGGTGTGGGGGGACTGAATCGGAAGAGGCCACAGCAGGGACACGAGTCAGGGTCACTGAACATTTATCATCAAGCATGTTTAGCACAGGCAAGAAGTGGCAGTCCTGGGAACCCC